GCGGTGGCAGCTTTGTAGTTGTCGTCTGACTTTTCTAAAAAAATTGTAATAACTACTGCAATTTTTTTAGCATCATAATATTTTTCAACAACTTCACAACTATTTTTTAATATGCTACAACTGTCCCAAATCGACCCTGAGTGTTGCAATGCCTTCACATTTATCATACTATCTCTTTTACCTCTTCCTTCTTTATCAATGACAATGAGTGCAATGACACACAATACAAGATAGCACACCAAAAAATCGTAGATGTCTTGCATACATATCACATAATTTTTATATATTTACATAAATATCATCTAAAGTTTCTTATTTATATGCATAGCATTCCGATTTTTAACATTACATGCTACTACTCAGAAAAGTGGGATACACACTTTCATGCATAAGTTTATAATGCCAAAAACGTAATATATGTAAATACACAAATTTAGAGATTAGAGATGTAAATACATAAAATTAAATTACGTTTGGATTGAACACATCAAATAATGAAAACTTAGAATCATTGGAAGCCCAATCTGTCGGGTAAATAAAACTTTGTATATAAAATGTACAAATCTCTCTACATTGATTGAGTCATGTTGAATATGTCTCGTTCCAATTATTTTTTAAATATCTACCTTTTGCAAATATGCCCAAAATTGATTGGCAATCGACCTCATCATTTGTCTCAATGCAATTGATATATTCATACAAAAGCTATAAGTTTTTTGTATCCTTGCAGCAAGACTGGTAATCTAGTCATCCATTAATAGTTTAATATAATTACAAAAATTCTCGTGGTTGAAAACGTAAATGGATGCCTCATTCGAAGTCATTCTAAATATTTATCTTTTTACCTTTTATTCTTTTAATTTTTTTTTTTATTTTGGTTATACATTTATCATGATATCATAAGTTAAAATACATTTAATTGGTTTTAAAAATACTTAAAACATCTAAAGATTGTTGGGAATACATTAAAAAAAGTTGATTTAAATTAAAAAATAAAAATACATAAAAAATGCTAAGGAAATATATTTAAAAAATTAGAAATTAAATAAAAACAAAAGTAAAAAATATCTCAAATAGGACCTAAAATTTGGAGCTGATTACTGGCTTCGAAAATAGTCTAAACGAAAGACTCAGAAATCGTCATTGACTTACATGATAAATTTGGCCACAAAACTGATATTGCATTTGAAGTTATTCAGCTGCATCTCAAGGATCCATTAAATTATAAATAAAAAATAACTTCTAATCACATTTAAGAAGCTTTCTTTCTCAAACAAAACAATTTCTTTGTGCAGCCACGTTTGCTTTAGGAAAGGTCAAGTGCAACATAAGGTAGCTATTACTGAGCCAAACACAATAAAACAATTTAAGGGTTTGGCTCATCAATTTATCATCCATCATGCTACCAAGCTAAAGGTCCTCATGTTGTAAATGTGCATTTGGCCTTTATTCGAGAAGTTGAACTAGTTACTCTAGTTTAGCTTCTAAAAGCAATGCCTCCAATTTTGCCCCATATTTTCCTTTCATACCTCATAATAATCAAAGAATATCGCTGCAGGAAGTCCATCAACACCTCTAAATAATAGTATCAATGAAAATAAGCATAGGGAATACACAATACAAGTACCAAACATCAGATCCATAACCAGAAATAACATCAGATGCACAGTCAGAAACATCATATTCATCAGTAATAGTCTGCTTGATAAAAAAAATTTCCAAACCAACCTGCTACTTCGGCAAGGAAGATGAAACCGTGGACATCCAAAGAAATAACATCAGATTCATTCGCAAAGAAGTGTAGAATGACGTAATATAAAAATAAGAAAGATTAAACCGTGAACATAAATCCAACAGAAATCCTTCAAGGACTCGATTAGCATTCTCAGAAAGATGAAACCGTAGACATCCAAAGAAACATAACAGAAATAGTATTCTCACAAACATACTTTCAGGGACTCGATTAGGGTTTTACGAAGGAGATACAAACGAGGTGGGAGAATCTCGCAGTGCGTGAGAGCTGCTTGTGAAATTAGGGCAGAGGAGCGAAGAGGGGCAGCAAGAGTCTTTCCATACAACGAATCGTGGATCGCGGGTAGGACCCCACGATCCTCTTCTAATAGTAAAATGGAAACTCCGTTTTACAAAACGCATCTGTGACGTGTTTTCCAAACGTGAGGTGGCGTTTTCAAAACGCCAAAACGCCACCACTGCAAAAACGCCCTACCAAATGCGCCCTAAGTTACAGAAGATGGAAGAAAAGAAAACACCTTTGGTAACCAGAGTTTATTTATTAAATTGACTACAAATTAGATATAAAATAAAAGGGGCATTTATACATACACCACTCAAATTCCTATGTATTTATATATCTAACACATAAAATTCAACTTTTGCATGCATACCATAGTTATGAAGGAAGAGGTGTATTTCACTTTTAAAAGTTAAAATGATGGTATTTTAATGTGATATGACAGAATTGGGTGGTATAAATGTAAAAAAGCAAAATTTAATTATTGGATGTGCAAATACATAGGAATTAGGTGGCATGGAAGTAAAAGACCTAAGAAAATTTTATTTATACATGCTTAATTTTGGTACATATTGGGAAATGAATAAATTGATTAATTTCTAATATTGTTCATAAATTTATCGCAAAATAGTCTAATTATATTATGATCAATATTAGGACATTGTTTATTTTATTGACTTTTAATAAAACTTTAAAATATAATAAAAGTTATAATTTCTTGTAATCTAGTATATTCCATTTATATATAATTATATTCTATTTATATATAATTTACACCATTTACAACACTTATTCATATACAACACATCGAAAATTTAAGGTGTTCAGAAATAGTTGTTGTATTCTAAATATGACAATCATAAACAGCGGTCACTGAAAGTTATAGTCAAATCTTTAATACAACATTATATGTTACAATCATATTTTAGATACGGCGTTAGCAAGCAATGGTGGTTGACGGCAGTAAGCGGGGAAGGTCGGTGGTGGTCAACGGTGGCTAACGGGCGATAGTCGACAATGGTTGACAGCTACAGATGCCGGAAGTCATCGTCGTTTTGTCAATCCAAAATAGGCTCTGGAGCTTCTTCTCTTCTCCTCCCACTTTAGTGAAGAAAGTAAGTTTAATTATCGCTTATGGGGGAGTAGTATTTTGGTCCTTTAGCGAATAACTCCCCCAACCACCTAATCGAACGACTTATGTTGGTCTATTAATATAAGGCTTCTTTGTTGATTTGAGTGTCATAATGACCTCACAATTGAGTGATCTTGAACCTGTTGGATTCCTCTTGTTAAGACACTCGATTTGCCTATAGATATATCAAATTTTAAGTTCATTTGATCATTCAATTAAAGATCTAAAATCTACAAATATACTTCATTAGGTTGATCCAGACTTGATTGGACTTGGATTGAATCAAATTTGGCATCATCGGTTTCTTCTTGTAAATACGCCCAATTTCACTATAAACTTATTGAAATCGGGAATTTGGATCATCTTGAATTTAAATCTGAAATGTGGATTTTGCATCAATTCTAATTTATCAAAACTAAAAAAATGAGAGAAATAAAAAAACAACTGCTGATATAAAAATAGCATTTGAGGAGTACTAATGTGATAAAGACTTCAAAGACAAATTTCAAAAAATTGTAATTACATCAATCATGCTATAATATATGATTATATAAAATTAGTACTAAATGCAAGTAAGTACAACAATAAAGAAGGGAAATGCGACAAGTAAAAAGAAAAACGAAGATTAACATACATACCATACAATCTTATGTATTTACATATTTACCATCTAAACTTCAATTTTACAAGCATTCCACCTCACTTATGCATGTATTTCACGTTTAAAACATAAAATAGTGATTTTTTTGTGAGAAGAAAGTCTTGGGTAGGGCTGTCAAGTCAAAACGGCTCGTTGTTTGCCAACAGCTCGTGTTCGACTCATTAAGAATCTCGTGTTCGGCTCGTTCGCTAAGTTAACGAGCCGAACACGAA